GCTGTAAGATGGCGGCGGCGGGGCGCCCGTCGCGGCCGGTGTTTACCGTGGTTCCTCGTCAATGACGCTTCTGTGAGGAACTGTGCCGACAAAGACGGAAGGCGCGGCCCGGGTACAAGGCGCTATCCCTTCACGTCCAGTCGCTTCTCGCAGGACTGGAATGCCCCCTCGGGGTGGTCTGGGATCCCTAGGAGAGAAACGATAGAGTATTTGCAGGCGTGTGTGGTCGGGCATCTTGTGTGTGGAATGTCTGCGCCCCACTCGGGGCCGTTTGAGCGCGGAGACGGGGGGAGTCAAGTTAGGGCTTTTCGTTGGAAACATTGACGGGAGGAAGATGGCGTCCCCCTCCTCACCCGGTGGTGTAAGAAGCCGGTGGTGTGAGACGGCCCTGAGGAGACGCTGGATGCAGGGCGTGCTGGGGAGTGGCGCTCAGCGACGGGGTCGTGTCGTGTTGCTTTTAATGCCATCGCTGGCTGAAGGCCTGGCCAGTTCGGTCGCTTTACCTCCTTTACAGGAGTTTTCGACAATAAATGATTCTGTCTGGAGAACTTGGACGGTTGCGGGTGAGTCGGAGGCTAGTGTTGGAGGCACGTTCGGAGGGGAGAATTGCATCCTGTGAACTTGGGTTAAGTCTCCGCTGCAGGAATCGATCCGCAGGGTCACGGCCAGAGCGGATTTGCAGAGGAGGGTTTTACCAAACTGTTCATGGCTGACGTGCGGCGGCCTGTAAAGCTGGGGAACTTGTGTTTTCCGCAGATGAGGCACTCGAAGAGAAGTTACTGCGCCGATTGGGACGAGAAGGACTGGGAGTCCGCCAAGTGGAGGAGCAGCAGCAGCCGCAAGAGGGCGCGGCGGTCCCCCAGCAGCGCCCGCGAGAGCAAGCGCTGCCAGTACGACCCCGCGAAAACCTCGGACAGGTGAGGAGGGGGCGCGCGGACCGGGGTCCCCGCTTCCTGTGTGCGGTGTGGCCTGTGCTGCTTGTGAAATTGTGTGTGTGTGTCTTGGTTGGTGGGAGAAAACAAAATCTTAGAGTATTTATTGTCTTAGATTTACTGAGAAGTTGAGGATACTCGGTATTAGCCTGAAGCACTGAGAAAGTGTTTTGTTTTTGTTTTTCTAGTCATTATTTGGAAAGCAGGTCCCTAAATGAGAGAGATTATTATAGCCGGCGCTACGTTGATGAATATAGAAATGACTACAGTCAAGGGTGTGAGCCCGGGCATCGCCACAGGGACCACGAAGGCAGATACCAGAACCACAGCAGCAAGTCCTCTGGCCGGAGCGGACGGAGTAGCTATAAAAGCAAGCACAGGACTCACCACAGTACCACCCATCACCGATCACACGCGGTAGGAGCGCTTTTAAAACGTTTGGAGATTTTATTTCCCCTTGGAACAAGAAACTTTAATTTGTGTTTGACCATTTGAGAAAGTTCTGTTTAAGATGAAGTTATCTCAATTTTAACTTGCAGGAAGGATCCTTTCTATTTGTGCTTTGGATAGGAAATGCCCTAAGTACAGTATATATTTAGTTACTTAATAGGTTTTGTTACTAGTTGGCAACTGTCATTTCCGTGAAATAGTGGAGGAGATTTAATTTAGGTTAGTTTATTGCAATGATAGCAGTATAGTCTGACAGATTTTTCATGGTACTTCAAGAAATCTGATTTTTGATAAATTGAAGCCTTACCACAAAAGTAGACTAGGCCTTTTATATTTGAATGATGAGGATTAGATGTAACTTTGTTCTAGCAATGCATTCTCTCTAATTTTTTTTTTTTTTTCACTAAGCCCACCATTTAACAGATTTGAACATTGTGGAATGTGTATTAATTTGGAGATCAGCTCAGATGGCGTTTAAAGTGTCATGGTGTTATTCTTGTATACCAAAAAAAAATTTTTCTTCCCCAAATTGGGACTTCAGTTTTATTTGCTATCTTAATATTTTGTTTTCTTAGATTAGTTAGGAAATCTTAATTTGGCCACAGTCTACTTTGACAAGTAAATATTACATCCTATGATTTTGCAACAGTAAATTGGGACACTAGAAACTTAAAATTATGTTTCAGTGAATGCTACAACTAAGCATTTTTTTTAAGAAAACAATTGTGTTATGTTTTGTTGCCTTGCCACTTTGAGTATCTTATCTGAAAATCTGTTCCTTGCCATGTTTTTCTCCTGTTAACATAAACTATGTGCCCTGTGAATTTCTGGGGACTGAATTTGAAATTGCTCCTGCCAACCGTTTGTGGCCTGGCGTGTATCTGAATGCCTGAATATCTCCCCGCTGAATGAATTTCGTATTCTGCCCTGAATTCACTCGGGTATATTGATTGGCTGGATGATCTTGGTGCCGCCCACTTGACGTTTCCAGAAGAGTCACCGAAGGAAAAGATCCAGGAGTGTAGAGGATGATGAGGAGGGTCACCTGATCTGTCAGAGTGGAGACGTACTAAGTGCAAGATGTATAGAATATTTTTCAACACTTATTAACTTTTCAGATAACATATCTATATATAGATTAAGATTTCAGGGATTTGGAAATCTTTTCTCTCTTTCTGTTTTTTTGTTTTGTTTGTTTTTTTCCATTTCTTTTGGTGGTGGGGGGGGATTGTATTTTTGCTTTCTTTAGAAATTTAATGTTTGTTATGTAGAACTTCCAAAACAGTAAATCAAGTTAAATGAAATTAGCTTTAAGACTGAAATTAGACATAAAAATAGTTACATGTTTTTTGACAGTGTTGACCAATAAAATAGTGATAAGGGAATTTAGCATCAACTAGAATAATCTGCATTTATAGCATTATGATAAGCAAAATGTTTTCACTTCTTGATTTGACTGAGATTTATTTTTCTTTTTTAGATGAAATTGTTGATACTTTAGGTGAAGGAGCTTTTGGAAAAGTCGTGGAGTGCATTGATCATAAAGTGTAAGTTTCCTATCCTGGCATTGTACTTGCAGTGATCGGCATAGAAAATATATTTAGCCTTGGGCAGTGTTGCTCAGTTGGTTGAGCATCGGCCCATGTACCAAGAGGTCACACGTTCAATTCCCAGTCAGGGCACATGCCCAGGTTTTGGGCTTGATCCCCAGTAGGGGGGCATGCAGGATGCAGCTGATTGAAATCTCTCTCTCAAAAAAAGAAAAAAATCAACATATCTTTTAAAAGAAAACATATATAGCTTTAGAATATGGTCTGACCATGAGTTAGATACATCTTTACCCTTTACCTTGGGTTTTTTACTTGTCTGTAGGAAACTCTCAGTAAAAGATACTAGCTGTTTTTATTTTTATATATCTTTTTATTTATTTTTAAAATATATATTTGTTGATTTCAGAGAGGAAGGGGGAGAGAGGTAGAAACATCAATGATGAGAGAATCATTGATTAGCTGCCTCCTGTACGCCCCCTACTGGGATCGAGCCCACAACCCAGGCATGTGCCCTTGACCAGAATCAAACCCGGGACCCTTCAGTCCACAGGTTGACGCTCTTATCCACTGAGCCAAACCAGCTAGAGCTGTTTTATTTTTAAGTAGTAGTAATTAATAGTATATGCAGCTTCTAACTTCAGTTTTAAGCTGAGAACAGATTTTATTTAAGGAAAACAGTATTTTCTTGTCTCACGAGGCCCAACTGTGGCCATCTTTTTTTTAAAGGTCATTCTAGTTGCTTACATTAAGTTGCAATTAAAAGATAATACATATAATCAAAGTAGAAGTGTGTACAGTTTGAAGAGAGTGATAGAAAATTGCATGAAAATATCTTGATTATTTTTATTTATAACTTGGATTTTTCTCTAACAGGGGAGGTAGACATGTAGCAGTAAAAATAGTTAAAAATGTGGATAGATACTGTGAAGCTGCCCGCTCAGAAATACAAGTGCTGGAACACTTAAATACAACAGACCCCAATAGTACATTGTAAGTATCAAAATAGAACTTAGAAAATGGCTCTAGGTAGATTTTAAGACAATTATAAGAAGCTGTACTAAGTTATTTTTCATGTGTTTGTAGCCGCTGTGTCCAGATGTTGGAATGGTTTGAGCATCGTGGTCACATTTGCATTGTATTTGAATTACTAGGACTTAGTACTTATGATTTTATTAAGGAGAATGGTTTTCTGCCATTTCGACTGGATCATATCAGGAAGATGGCATATCAGATATGCAAGTCTGTGAATTGTAAGTACTTTTTATGAAATGTTAGCTGTTGGTGTGCTAATTTTTTAAGGAGGGTAGTGGGTTTCAGTCCCTGGTGGTTGTCTAGTAGACTAATTGAATGTTGGCCACTTCTTCAGGCTTGTGGCAAAGACATCAGAGAGGTGTGTTTTTTGTTGGTAGGGACTTTGGGTTTTGATTTGTAGAGTACAGCTACTCTTTATGTTTCATTCTCAGTTCTGCACAGTAATAAGTTGACTCATACCGACTTAAAGCCTGAAAACATTTTATTTGTGCAGTCTGACTACACAGAGGCATATAATCCCAAAATGGTAAGTCTTTCATGTATTAACTTCATAGTTCTAAATGAATGTTTAATGTCTTCTTAATATTAATACCTTCTTAACCATCATTTATGGTTTTTAGAAACGTGATGAACGTACCTTAATAAATCCAGATATTAAAGTTGTAGACTTTGGAAGTGCAACATATGATGATGAACATCACAGTACATTGGTATCTACCAGACATTATAGGGCTCCTGAAGTTATTTTAGGTAAGTATTTAATTGTGCTTTGGGAACCTTTATCTTACTGAAGCTGATTTTAAATTTTACTTATAGTTTGAAAACATAATCATTTAATTCCTGTTATGTCCCAGATACTTTGCATGTGCAGTCTTTATGTGGCATAGTGTGCCCATTTTACAGGTTAAGAAATTGAGGCTCAGAAAGAAAAAAAAAATTCCCCCTCTCCCCAATCACTAGCCTCAAGAGCCTGACTTAAGGCTTGAAACTAGTATCTCCAGAATCCTAACTCTTACATACTATCCTATTATATTTAATCTTGGACTAAGTGATTGCTTTAGGATCTTTTCTATCTCAAACATCAACTTATGCACATTTAAAAAAACGTTTTTAAGAGACATTGAGGATTTTTCCCCCTAACAGTTTGCTTTATCTTACAGCCTTAGGATGGTCCCAACCATGTGATGTCTGGAGTATAGGATGTATTCTTATTGAATATTACCTTGGCTTTACAGTGTTTCCAGTAAGTGCTTTCTTTGTATACGTGCCTGTTCATATGAATGAACACTAACTCATACATATATTTCCGTAGCTGTACCCCCCTCCCCATCATAGACTATTAGTTGTAGATAAATATAAAGAAATAAAAATTATGGTATTGTGATTCTGTTGGGCATTTCATAATTTATGATTTTATTTAAAATATTTTTTAATCTATTAAATAAACTTGCTGAATTAGGGGAACCTTTGGTGATCTGTAAGGCTTATGTTTTTTGGGGGGTTTTTTTAGCTGTAACTTGCTAAAAGTAGGCCTTTTTCAGTGATCACATCCTTCCTTGTGTCTAAACCATGTAGGGACTAGAAATGTAGCAGCTATGTTAAATGAGAACGAAGCATAATGTGCAAGTTCAGGTAGTTAACAAGTTTTCTTTATTATTTTAGACACATGATAGTAAGGAGCACCTAGCAATGATGGAAAGGATTCTTGGACCTTTACCAAAACATATGATACAGAAAACCAGGTATGTTTTGAGAGTAGATGCCTTCCTTAGTACCAGTTGGTCACCTGTCCTGATTAGAACTATAAAACAGTAATGCTTTTTCACTTAAGTAGCTGATGATTATTTTGCGGGAAGCCAGTAACGATCTCACTAGGCTGTCTTTTGAAATCTGTGGAAAATACTAGTCTGATCTATAAACACATAATAAATGATTAAAACAATCACTATTAGTAGATGTTTAAATTTTCATTGTCAACATAAACATGGATATTGACTTACTCTTAGGAAACGTAAATATTTCCATCATGATCGATTGGACTGGGATGAACACAGTTCTGCTGGCAGATATGTTTCAAGGCGTTGTAAACCTCTAAAGGTAAGCCTGGGTCATTGCTTAAATGATCCTTGAGTTTTCCCTTTTTATGGTGGAGAAAAAAAGTACAAGTGGTAGTAGAAAAAGCTGTTGACTGTTTCTTTTCCTTTTAGGAATTTATGCTTTCTCAGGATGCTGAACATGAGCTTCTCTTTGACCTCATTCAGAAAATGTTGGAGTATGAGCCAACTAAAAGGATTACTCTCAAAGAAGCCTTAAAACATCCTTTCTTTCATCCCTTAAAAAAAACTACATAGATCTCTAATTGTACAGCGAAAGAAGAGATTTTATAGACTGTATCAGTCTAATTAAGTTATTTTGTACAGCTTTTGTAAATTTCTTAAACTTTTATATTGCCTTGTTTATTTTGTTTGGATTGTTAAGTCCATAGCTAAGTAATGAACATCTTTTTCAGTGATTTCTGTATAAAATGATCTATTCAGAATAAATTTTTTTGTGTTTATGAAGTTTATATGAATCTGGACAATTTGGTTTTTAGCACAATTTTTTTTGTTTCTTGTCACTTTAAGGAATGGACATGTTTCTTCTATTAGGAGGTTTCCTTCAGTATTGGAAATATTTAGCTTTGTTTTTATTTTAGTGAATGCCAGCATTGGGACTTACACCTTTTCTGAATCAAATTACATGGGGTGTTGAACACATTATATAATATAGATGCTGTATTATAGAATTATATAATTTTCTTAACCAAGATCATCCCCATAAGTTCAATAAAAAAGTAAAAATAATTACAGGATATAAAGATCTAAAGATAAGCCAAGAAGAATTTGTTCTCCCTTATATTCCTGTTCAGATTTAATATTGCTGCTTTCCTGTCTCCCCCGGAATGGGATTTTGCAAATGGTTTAAGGTCATGTGCTCCTTCAGGACATAACAGAAGTTTCCAGATCCTTTACAGCCAAGTCTGAATTATCAAGTCACTAGTAAGTCAGATTTTTGTCCATTATCACCATCCATCACCAGAGGGTTTATTTGCTGTAATAGATGAGCCTATGTTGACATAATCACCCAAAGCCTACCTTCTGGCTTATTTTTGCTGTTGTTCCATTATATTTGTTTAGGTAGTTCTGCTCGCAGATAGGTTTCAAGGCAATGTAACGTGTGATGATGCATCTGTCATAGAACACAGTATGTTCACTGCTGAAAAACATGCTGTTCATCCCTCCCTCCAGCCCTCAACTTGCAATAACTAATCTTTTTTACTGTTGTCTAGTTTTGCCTTTTCCAAAATGTCATGAAGTTGGAATCACAAAGTACATAGCCTTTTCAGAAGGGCTTTCACTTAAAGCGTTTTTCAACCAGTGTGCATGTGGCAAGAATTTTTAAAACATGCAATACCTGCCTGGCTGTTGTGCCTCTGCTTGAGCTTTGACTTTTGAACCAGGAGATCACAGTTCAATTCCCAGTCACATGCCCAGGTTGTAGGCTCGATCCCCAGTAAGAGGGTGGGTGTGCAGAGGAAGTAGCCAATCAGTGATTCTCATCAATAAAATAGCTATACAGCTATGAAGAGTTGAACTTTAAATGCCCATTTAAATCAGCAATTTTCAGCCCTTTTCATCTCATGGCACATAAACTTTAGAGGTCTGGTGCACAGATTTGTGCACTGGTGGGGGCATGGCCTGCAGGTATCACCAGCTGTGGGAGCCCCACTGATCCTGCTTAGCCAAGTGGCCATGGACCCACCCTCTGAGTAGCTGCTGAATGAGGAAATTAGTCTGAGCTGATATTTTGGGGTAATGTCTTGGGTAAAGTCACGTTCTGTGTCCTGGGGGAACCTGGTGGAGAGCTTTGCACCCCAAAGCCACTCGGTGAATGTCCTTGATGTGTGATGCCAGGTCGGTGACACCATCGGGGATGTTCAGGGCAGCCGTGTTCCAGGATCCTCAGCCAGCAGGACAGAGTCCACAGTCACGTCCCCTCTTGCCATTCGCCTATGCCAGCTCCCTGCGCTCTTTCTAGAATGCACCTTAGAGGGCCTGCATCAGCTGGTGGGGTCAGGCCAGAGTCTGGATTGTCTCAGGTATTTGATAGGTGCAGAGACTTGGCCTCACCCTGGGCCTGCTAGTGGCTGCTCCCACAACAGGAGCAGCTGCTCATCCCGGTCAGCCAAGCAGTGCTCCCACTGTGGGAGTGCACAGTGGGACCACCAGGGGGCAGCTCCTGTATTGAGCGTCTGCCCCCTGGTGGTCAGTGCACGTCATAGTGACTGGTCGGTGATTCTGGTTGTTCCACCCTTCAGTTGCTGGGCTTTTATACATATACTAGGGGCCCAGTGCACGAAATTCGTGCACTACGGGGGTCCCTCAGCCCAGCCTGCCCCTTCTCACATACTGGGAGCCCTCAGGGGATGTCCTACTGATGGCTTAGGCCCGCTCCCTGCTCCCCTTGGGGAGCGGGCCTAAGCCGCAGTCTGGCCTCCCTTTGTGGGAGGCGACCGGGCTGATCAGAGGAAGGCACCAGCCCCATCACCCCACTGCTGCAGCCACTGCAGCCACCATGGACTCCAGTCCCTTCACCATGAAAAAATGACAACTTTCTTTAGGCATTTTCAAGATGTGTCTTTCATAGGATATGACATTTCTTATTTTTTTATCCTCACCTGAGGATATGTTTCCATTGATTTTTAGAGAATGTGGAAGAGAAAGGGAAAGACAGAAACATCAAAGTGTGAGGAACACTTTGATTGGTTGCCTTCTGCATGAGCACTGACCTGGGCTCCAGCCAGGGAAGAGCCTGTAACCTAGGTACGTGCCCTTGGTCAGAATTGAACCTAGACCCTGTGGTAGGCAGGCCAAGGCATTATCTACTGAGCCAAACCGGCTAGGGCAGGATATGATATTTCTTAGCCCTTCCAGCAGCAGACCTTCGTTGTTTTTTCTCCAGGCAGGAGTGAGGTGGGAAAACCCTACATCACCTTCTTGGATTCTTATTACCCAAGTTACTAAGAATATTACCAGTGGCATACAGGGAGCTTAGCCAATGAGCAGTCAGAAAAGGTGTTTCCTCTGTAGTTCACACTGATCCCCGGCTCGGCCCTTGCCCAGGCCTAAGGCCTCTGGCCAGGGCGTTAGGCCTGGGCAGGGGACCCCCGGCCCCGGGCGATTGCCAGCTCCTCCCCTTCCCAGGCCTCAGGCCTCTTTCCAGGCATTAGGCCTGGGCAGGGGACCCCCAGCCCACTCTGATGGCCTGCTCCACCCCTGCCCAGCCCTCAGGCCTCTGGCCGGGGCATTAGGCCTGGGCAGGGGACCCCCAGCCCGCTCCAATCACAGGCTCCGCCCCTGCCCAGGCCTAAGGCCTCTGGCTGGGGACTCCCAGCCCGCTCCAATCGCCTACCCAGGCCTCAGGCCTCTGGCCGGGGCATTAGGCCTAAACCGGGGACCCCCAGCCCACTCCTATCGCAGGCTCCGCCCATACTCAGGCCTCTGGCCGGGGTGTTAGCCCTGGGCAGGGGACCCCCAGCCCTGTGCGCTCACCGGCTCTGTCCCTACCCAGGCCTCAGGCTTCTGGCCGGGGCGATCGCTGCTCCGCCTTCCCGGTCCCCGATCTGCAGCCCAGATTCCAAGGGCAGCGTCTGGCACTGCCTGCCCCACCTGCAGTATGCAAATTTAAAGGCCATCTTTGTTGGGTTAATTTGCATAGGCTTCTGATTGGCTGGTGGGTGTAGCAAAGGTACGGTCAATTAGCATCTTTGTCTTTTATTAGTGTAGACTAGGGGCCCATTGCAGTAAGATTCCTGCAAGAATAGGGCTTCCTGAAGCTGGAGTGAAGCAGTCGCTCCCTTCTCCGCCGCTTTGCTCCTTTCTGTAGCACTTCACTCCCTTCTATGCTGTCTGTAGTCTTCGCTCCACGCCTGTGTATGCAAATTAACCAACATCTTTGTTGGGTTATTTTGCATACTTGCTCTGATTAGCTGGTGGGCTGAACAGAGGGATGGTCAATTTGCATGTTTCTCTTTTATTAGTGTAGTTTACTAAAATTCTGTGGTACACACAAAAATATTTTTTGCTTATCTGAAAAAAGATATTTTGATTCATTCACACCAGAGGGCTATTGTGTTGGCTCTCCGTTTTTTACAATCTAAGGGAAAAGAGGTAAGTGCCTGACTAGCCAGGTATTGCATGTTTTGTATTTGTATTTGAATAGCACATCTCCTCCTTCAGATGTTTGCTAATTTCAGCAAGGCCTTCCCTGGCTATGGCTACTTAAAATTGCCACAATCCCTCTTGCCAACACTATGCCTGTGCCCCTTCGTTTTTTCTATAAGAACTTTTTATGCAACTCTGCTGCTCAGTAAATATTTGGTGGATGACTTTTTTGGAGCAGAGCTCTGAGGGAGAGATCCATATAGAAAACCCAGGTGCCAGAAGCCGGTCCATCCTTGCTGCTTGACACAGTCGCTGCAGGGAAGAAACATCTGCACAGCATATGTTTCAAGGGACCTGGCGTATATGGCATACTGTTCTTAATATGTTTACTCCCCTTCTTAGCGCTATGTGTTTTAACCAAGGTCACCTCTCCGAGTAGGTTGTTTCCCCAGGTGGGGATTTTTCCCTGGAGTTAGGGATTAACAGGACTAAGGAAGGGAATAAATCAGTAAAACCCCTTAACTAAGTGCCAGGCAGGTAGTTACTCATTTTAACTACGAACAATCACGGTTAAGCTACATAATCTTTACTTAGGATAATCTCTTTCAGTTATTTCCTTGTAGCTTAACAGAACAATAGAGTAGTGACCTTGGAATGGAGATAACAAACGCCCTAACCTTTGGAA